CCCCAAAACCCCAAAACCCCAAAACCCCAAAACCCCGAAGATTAACAATAATATTGTTCAAAGTTTAAATTTAAATATGGAAAAAGACTCTGACCGAAAAGAAGATTTAGAAGATGAAGAAGGTGAAGAGGAAGGGGAAGAGGAAGAAGAAGAGGAAGAAAAGAAAACTATTAGTAATTCGGATATTAAGAGGGATGAAAGGAAGACTGATATGGGGAAAGTTATGACTGTAATACATGAAGAGTCGAAGAAGAGTATTTTGGATTATGGTAAAACTGCAGCTAAGAAGTATAAGTTTGAAGAATTGGAGCCCACCCATAGGCCTATATTTTCGTTAAAGACTTCTACTGTGAAGACAGAGGAGAGGTTTAAGATGAGTGCCCAGGAATATCTTGATCATTTTAAAATAGCTACTATACTTCAAGATACATTCAAAACAATTTTAGATAGGAGGGAAGAGAATGCAAGAGATCTTTTTATCCAATACTTAGAAGCTACATTGAATGGAGAGCATATTCTCCTGAGAGAACATGCATTTGTAAATGCAACTCCTCTAAATAGAAAATGCTTTTTGCAACAAGTCAGAAAGGTATTCCATTGCACTCCTTGCTATAAAATAGTGACTGGGCTTGATTACCTCCAATTGCTTACCCTAATTTGATCAGACTTCCCTAAAAGCTTAATGATTGAAGCTGTAAAGGTAATCAATGTAGCTGATACAAAACTTCCATCAACAAAGGCAATGGAAGACCTCTTGTTTGAAAAATATGAGCTATTCGACCTTCAATGATCAATTTGAATATTCTTCTATTTTCACGAATTTATGGAAGGAATAAAGACTATCTTCCAGGACGCACAACTCAACTCAGCCAGCCTAGACCTGGACGAGGAGTGTTCTGTGATAACAATCTATACAGCTGCATGCAACTTTATCAGGAGAGGAAACTTGAACAAATGCCCATACCCAAGCTTTGAGAATGTCCTTGAAGCAATTATTCATGACACTGACCTAGAAGAACGGCTCAGCTCTGAGCCACTCGTGCTAGCAGATGATATAGTGCCAGATCTGACTGGAAAGATAAGTTACAGGAAGTTCTGTGCTGGCATGTATAGAAATAAACACCTGATCCTGTCTATTTACAAACCAATAGTCAGCAAGAGTCTCTTAGAGAAGAGGAAGCTTCATGAATCCAGTAAGAGGAAGGAAACCGGGTCCAAAAAGGATGATATCAAAAGGACTAAGACTAAAGGATAATTTGGAATTCAATTTTACTAAGATGGTGAGGGGTTTTGGGGTTTTGGGGTTTTGGGGTTTTGGGG